ATAGAAAATTATAATATACAATTAAATTTATATATATTTATAGTATATTTATAGTATATTTACAATAAAAATTCATTATCCAATAAGAACTTTATTGCTTCGTTGGAAAAAGTTTGTATATCAGATTGTTTATTGAAGCTCAGCAAAGTACAATTCATATATAGTTTTAAATCTTCCAATGTATATAAAACTTCGCTAGCCACTGCTTCTAAGAGCGCTCTTATTAATAGCGTAGAATCATTGAGACAAGATTCAATCGGATCCAGAGTTGCAGAGAGTAAGGACAGAGCTGCATTGCGTTCAGTTGGTTTGCATATTAGTATACTTTCTCCTGGAAAATTTGAAATTTTAATTTATTTATATTATTAAGTGATGTATGCTGTAATCTAATTTTTTTTCTTTCAATTTTATATAATCAAGATGATCAAATTATATGATTTGTTCTATAATACATTCTAATATTTTTTACCTGCACTGTCTTTTCCCATACGGCCAGCACGTCCTATCATTTGTTTGTAAGTTAAAGTATTCAATAGGTCTTTACCAAATAGAGGTGATCTTATGATTACTCTTCGTGCAGGTAAGTTCACTCCACTGCTTAATGTTGATGTTGCTATAAGAACTCTCAAGGATCCTGTTCTAAAATTACAATATGAAGTTTAATATAACAATATAAGATCTATGTCAGTTAAGCAAAAAGAGAAGTACTTCATCACCTGAAAGATCCTTCTATGATATCGCGTTCGTCCATCGTGAGTCCAGCATGATGAAATGCAATGCCGAACGAAATCGTGTTCTTTAAAATGTTGTCGAGGCCGCTTGGGCTGCGCTTTAATTGCTCCAGAGTTTCCTGAATTAATACATTGTTGATCTCTTTCCTTAACATTTCTCCAAGTACTGTATTTTTGCAACCTATCCAGAGATTGAGGTAAATGTAAGAGATAAACATCTCTTCTTTTTAATGTTGTACATTTTCTTACACTTTCTATACTTTAAATAAAATGGATATATTGGTATATATCGCGAAGAGATGAAACAATGTAATTACAGAAAAATGTAGAAAGCACAAAACAAATTTATATTTACTCCAATTTAATTTACAGATAATTGAAGCAGACCTAATTTGAAGAAGGCTACGGCAATTTGCTCTGCCAATTTCTCACACCATTTCTTTGTAGGACAGAAAATCAGTATACTATGACCAGCGCTTATTGTTTCGATGCAAAGTTGCAGAATATTATCTACATCTTTTTCTAATTCTGGCAATTCTTCTACTTTTCTGACAAGACTTAATTTGTTGTCATATATATTTTCTCCTATCTACAAGTAGAAATTATCTTAAATATAATGATTGATAAATATAATAGTTCTAAACAATATAATAATTCAAATTTTTTATCTAAATAAATAAAAAAATAAGAATAATCTTTTTGTATATGTTTTTTACCTTACAATATTCATGTAAAGGAATGGGACGAAACTCAGTCTTGTACAATTCTGCATTTAGCCATTTGGCTAACAAGATTAAGTTTGGCAATGTGGCCGACATACCTATCAGTTGTATATTGATGTCTTCATTACTGAAATATTATATAT